TTATTAAAAACTGGATCATTGGATAATACAATTCAAGACCTTTTATTGGCTTAGCCATTATGGTATATGAGCCAATATACCATAATCTAATATCTGTACATCATAATATCCAGTTTTCTTCTTACAAAATAATGTCAAGAAGATTTGTCTTATATCTTGGGGGCATTTTTTTTGATAAAACAATTATTCCACTCGCGCTTGTTGGATATGAGATGATTATAGCCGACTTGGCGCTACGCGCCTTGTTGGCTATCTATCATCTCATATCCAATGCGCACTCTGGAATAATTGTTAATTATTCCTCTGTTTTGTCTCAGGGGAAAAGGTTGAATACATTCAAGGAATTAAAACAATCAATTCAGACACTTTGGAGAGAAATAGAGGCAGTCCCATCATCTACCATAGAGCAGGAACTGGTTAAAAGTGATGCAGAGACAACATTCAAGCTTTCATCTGACAACATAGAGCATCTGAGGGGACTTCATACTGAGGTAAGATTTTCTACTTTTTTGACAGAAAAATCTGAAAGATGGATTTGAAGATATCAAATCATTCTTATAAAATAATATGTTGTATGCGCAGCTGGAAAATCAAAAGAAGAGGTTCATCGCTGAATCATCCGAGTTGACTGAGACAATCAAATCACTGTGGAGCAAACTTGAAGTTGATGAGTCAAAAAGAAAAGCCTTTCTTGCTAAACATGTGGGATCTAAGCCCTCTGTAATAACTAAGGTAAGTATTCTTAAATTCTGACTTACTGGTGGGGTGACCTGAAGCAATTATCCATTCTAAATTTAATATAATTATTGTTGTTGTATATATTGTAACCTGTGGATTAGTGTGCCAGTGACAGGAGGAAATGAAATCTTCGACCAGTGTCATCACTAAACAAAAACTGGAACTGCTCTGGTTTCATTGCAGCATGGTTGATCCATAAAACCTATTCTTCTTTTAAATTAATGAACACATGAAGACTGACTGTTCCTTTTTTTCTCTGCTTCAGTTGAAAGAAGAGGTCCAAAGATTACAAGCCTTGAAACTGCAGCACATGCAAAAATTCATCGAAGGTCTCAGGTAAATCAACTGATTCCATCCAATTGTTAATATGTTTGCAAGTTATACACAAAATGTTACATCTGCCATGATCCCAGTTCTTTTCAACCCTTAAAATAATTGAGTTGATTGAGGAACATGTATATTATTCTGTCAATCTTTAATCCTTCAGAAAGGAACTGTCTGATCTATGGGACAAGTGTTATTTTGGTCCTGCACAGCGAGAAGAGTTCAGTCCAGCTTTCGATGGTAGGTTTTCACAAACAGTTTATAGTTAAAATGCCTTTGATATCATTGAATACTTTGTTGTAGTTGAAGGAATCAACCTTTCCATGATAAATTTATGACCCAGACATAATCTTTTGAAATGAATCTTTTTAGACAACTTCACAGAAGAACTCCTGTCTCTTCATGAGCATCAAGTTGAGGTCATGAAGAATTATTACGAAGGAAACAAGGACATTTTCAAACTTGTGGAAAAAAGAGAAACACTGTTTAAGACAATGGAGGAATTTGAGGTGATTTCCACTAAACAACATTACTTATAGGATGGTGTAGAATCTTGAAAATAATAATTAAGTTGTAAATAAATATTACCTAATAATGTTCTGTACATAATATTGTCTAAATAATTTGTAGCACAGTTTTTAGAGGCTTCTTCCTTTTTGTCTTCAGAGCAGGAAAAATGACACTAATCGCCTTGCAAACCGTGGTGGGGCGCTCTTGAAGGAAGAAAAAATGAGGAGAGGAATAAATAAGGAACTGCCCAAGGTGAAAAATCCAATCATAATTAATGAACTGTTATATTTGTCTTTTCTCACTTATAAATTGCTAATTTCCTCATTTCAATTGTTGACTAGATTGAACAGAAACTTAGCACACAAATAAAAAAGTGGGAAGAAGAGAATGAACGGCGATTCCTTATCAATGGCTGCCATTATATGGACATTATCAACCGTCAGTGGGCAGCATATAATGCACAGAAGGAACAAGAAAAATTGGAAAGGGTAAAAAAAAATTATAAACAGATAAACACAAAACTCAAGTCATTTAAAATGTTAATAAGTCAAAAATCTTAGCATCACACAGATGTATCATTGTGGAATTGATCATTAATTTCATTATAAGCTATTAGGAGCTGGACTAACTATTTATGCAGTCAATACTATCTGTGGAGCAACTTACAGTTTTTATGAAACTTGTATTCCAATTTCGTGATCATTTTATACTGATGTCATTGATATTCAATTGGTTGATAAACTAAGATACAATTTGTGTTTTCCAAAGCAAAAACAAAAACAAGAGCTCATGGAGAAAGAGATGGTTTTTGGAAGCAAGCCAGCAACCACACCCAAGAAAAAAAGGTATTAACTGGCTGTTTTTCAATCTATGTCACTACTGTGTTAAAAACATAGCACTGAACTTTATTTATTAATTGAAGGCCATTTGATGTTAATCTAGTCTCATTTACTTTGTTTGTGGCACAGACCAATTGGAGGAGGAATGACACCCTTGAAGACGCCGAAACGAATGAAAGTGAGGAACTAACTTACTATTATGGTTGAAAAGTAGTTGTTTTCAAAAGGGAGATTAAAGTGTACTTCTTTTGTGTAAACCAACTTCACTGTCATACAATTAGGTTCCCAGAAAAATAAAACAATATTATAGCTTAATTAATAGAAAAAGTCTCTTTGTAGGAGAGAGGTATTTCAGTGTTAACATGTTATGGTCTCAAGAACAGTTAGATGCAAAAGTATCAAATTGTTACATAGCTAGTCAGCAGGCATGTACAAGTGAACTGCTGATCTCAATCAATGACCAACTTCATTGCTTTATTGATCCCTACAGATGCAGGAGTACACATCAACACCATCAAGATCACACCTCCACTCTAGCATTTTCCCCTCCCCAAGGCCTGTTGCAGGAAATACTAATGGCCGTCCTCCAGTTGCTACAAAACCCAGTATAAGAAAAGTTGCGAAGACAATAAAGAAAAAAGTGGTAAGATAATCCTATGGGTTAACTCTCAGTGTCAAAACTGTATTGAAAAAGGAACTACTGAACAGCTGTGGGTACTTACATTGTACCTCTGATCTTCAAGAACTTACCAAACATGTTGGTTCTCTTTTAAATACTGATGCATTCTCCTTGCAATCACCCCCAAATCACACATTGAGGTCACAAGAATTTGTATAAAAAAAATGATCACCAACTAAAAAGTGAAGCTCTTGACTGTCGCACAAATTCTCCTTATCCTAAGGAGAATATGCATACTACTCATTTTAGGGTGTAATCTTTGCTGCAGTAAATTGTTTTTGATTAAACCCTCCAACTAGTAATACACTGAGAGATAAACAAATGGAGCGATGTGTTAAAAAGAGGATATTTCTTTATCATCAACTGTCAGCTAAACTACTGAGAAATTATCAACTGATAAATTGATTAACTTTTGACTAATATATAATGACAGAGGCTGGCTGTAAGACACTGTTTTCTACAAAAACAACTGGTCAATGAATTTTTTTTTCCTGTTGACATTGACAGACACCTTCCAGCAGGAGACAGTCAGCCAGGCTTGCTGTGAAGAGAAAGGTCCTTGCTGAAAAAAATGGTAACTCTAGCAAGATGTTGAACAACACTGGCAACACATCAATACAAGTGCTCAATGGATTCAGTTCAAACAGCAATAAGAATGAGTCAATGGTTGTTTGTACCTCATATAATGAGTTTGCTGTAAGTGGAATTAAATCTCTCAAATATTCCTTTTCACATTACAAAATACAAGAGTGAGTTATATTTTGATGTAAAAACATAAATTTCCATCACATTCAGTAATCTGCATAAGATTCCTTTTTTTTTTTGTTTTCACAACATTTGAATCATAATTGATGTAGAGATTAATAATTATTAAATGAATACTGACACTTTTTAGTAGTGTGTGAAATGATAACTAACTGTAAGTTTGAACTAAAGGTAGGTAGTTTAAGTACCTTTAGATACAAACAAAACAAATAAATAATATTTAGTATGGTTTTGGAATGCTGCATAGGGCAGCTATCGGGAATAGACAGTGATGAGTAATTTAAAGTGCTCAAGAACTGACTGACCTCTGCTAGAGAGTGGGTTGTTACACTTGAAGGCAAAGTGAATTTTTTTCCTTTTTGAAGTTTGAGAACTAATTTGACGTATTTGTAAGGTCACAAAAATCATGGAAAATTGTTGGTTCTTTTTTTAATAGAATGATAGGAGTAATGTAAGTTATATATGTAAGTTATACATAAGTAATATTATACAATAGTTGTCCTTGAGAATCTTAATGTAATACTCTGAAGTGAAATTTGTAGTCATTATAAATGAATAATTTTTTTTCATTCAAATTTCTTTTTTTTTTTATATATTTTCATAATTTTTTTTCATACATGATATTACTTAATTTTATTCTTAAGTAGGTAATATTCTTTGTAAATAATTTTTATCCATTTTATTTGTGTCCCCACATTAGTATGGGATATCTCCCAAACTAGAAGGTTCATTGACATGTTAATAAAGTTTCTATCTATCTATTCAATTTTGAAACCACATGTATTGAACTGTTCATTTAACTGAATGAAACATCACTTAATATAATTATTGCATAGCCTTTACTTATAAACAATTCATAGGATTTGGACAGCAAGGGGAGGGGTCTGTGTTTTCAATCTATTGTTGACTTGTAAAAGTAATGAAAGTCATCAACTTCTGCTTTAAAACTTTCAGACTGGTGGTTTCTTTGCTGTCAAATTGAAGAGTTTATCAACCATGACTAATTTACATGATTTTTCTGTGCTGCAGCACTTACATGACAAACATTAACAAACTCTATTTTTCTCTCTTTGATGCCCGAGGGGTTACCTAACCAGTAACACATGGCTTATTTTCCTTTTCTGCATGTTCTTGTTGGCTGATGTCTTAACAAGCTTTTACTTGGTTTTGCGTGTGCCAAATGGTTTTGACAGTTGCTTTAAAAATAGCTGTAATTATGTATATTCCCAACTTGACTGTCTTGAACCTATTTGCTATCTGATGTTGACATAAAGGATTTAATATGTATTTTGCATGGGTGCACGATATACTTTTCTAATAGTTATCCTCTAGGCTTTCTGTCTAACTTGTGAAGTTATCTGATGAGATTTCTTTGTTCTCCCTAGAATGGCTTGGCACAGGAAGAGAATAACTGTCGCAGCAGTATGCTCAGCAGAACACATTCAGTGATCTCGTTTGTCTGACAAGGGACAGTCACAACATGCATCTTACACAAAATGAACTTATCAAAGAGTTGTAAAGCTAACATTTCATCTAATATAAAAAAGGCTTTTCTGAGGCTTTGCTCATTCTATTAGCTATCAGCTGTTCCTTGAAATCATGTGAATTTCTGCTACAGTGACAGCGTGTTTGGTGCCATTATTTGAACAGATTTTAACACACATCTCTGCCTCACTTTGATGATTAGTTTCTATTTTTAATAGACCATTGTACAGTTTTGTAGATTTTTTAAAAACGTTTTGTGGACTATTTTTAGGTCAATAGAGTTTTTTGTCTTTTTTTTGTTACAATAACATATTAAATGATATTACTTTCAAAGAACAGGTAGGGTGGTAGTGAATTCTTTTATCATATTAAGTGAATGAAGCCACTTAGAGTGCAGTAATACTGTGCCTGTACTCTACCTTAATTTTAATAAGCAGATTTGTTCCATTACACCCCTAGGGCCCTTCCTGGGCAGAGACTCAATCCAAGACTTAATTTCAAGTGATTATTTGTTTAGTTACAAAACACAATCAGGTTGGCACTCTTTAATAAATTTGTGTGTACTAGCAAAGTTATTAGGGAACTTGTTGCCTGCATGGCAGTCTTTTCCATTTCCTTTCATCTAAGTGGGAAAGGCACTGAGCCAAACCAGATACATCATAGCATAGCTGAAAGTAAGAATAAAGAATCAAGGCCTTGCCACCACCCTTGGAAATATTTAGAGAACAGTATGGAGAATTTGCATACTGATGTTAGGATGTCCAAGGTTCAGTTACGCTTTAACTCCCATTAAAGCCCTGTGCCTTTACATGACTCCCACTCACCTCAGGTTCTTCCCTCTCAGCTAAAATGCAAAGGAGAAGACTGCCAGGCTGAGGATAATTAAATCTGACACCAAATGTCAATACTCCTGTGGACTGTTGGGAATGGTTGTTCAGAGGGAGGATAACTCTATTCATTGGATCAATTGCTATGAAGGGAGAAAGTGGTCACAAAACATACCGTGTACTTAATAGAGATTTCTGCAATGGATAGCCTTAGCTACCCTTTGGACAACTGGGGCCTGGTCTGTATCAGTAAAAATGGTTGTATATAATTTCTTAGGAAACTAACATTTGGTACAATAAAAAGATTTAAATGCCAAATTTCTGGATTGGTTGAATTTGAAGACTGTTTGGAAGATTATCCAAACAAAGCTTGCTCAATTATGGCACGAGTACTTGAAGCAACCCAAAACAGTATTTGCATCAAAAGTCTTCCTTCACAAGACACTGTACTCTTCTCGATGGGGCTTGAAATGGTGTTACTAACACTAAACAATTATTTTGTGTGTCTTAAACAGTGTAATCATTTTGAGTGGTAGTCCCTCCCCCCCCCCCCCAAAAAAAAACATTTACTAATAACTACCAAAAACCAGAATGGAAGTACATACCATGAGATAGTTCCTTACCCAAGTATACTCATCCCTAGGTGACAAAAGCTTATAACAGTGTATGTGGCAGATATCACATTAAGTGAAGACTGGACCAAGTTCCAAATTTTCTTTCCTCTTGTTAATTTAAATTAAAATGTAATCTACTCTGGACACCACTATCAGGCAGACACAGACCCAAGATCAAGCTTAGTGAGGGAACCAAGTTAATTTTCAACCAATTGCAGTTAGATGTAGGTACGATAAGGTGGTTCCTTGACCAAGTATATTTATCCCTCAGTGAAAAAAACCACTTACAGTCAAAGGAAACCTATATAGGGCAGACCTCGCATTAAGTGAATACTCCAAGTTCCAAATTTTCTCTCCTCTATCAAAGTAAAATGGAATGCTCTCGATGGACACCTCTAATAGACAGACACAGACCCAATATCAAGCTTAGGAAACCATGTTTAATTTATGCAGTTAAGGTCACAATTTAACTTGAAAAATGTATCATAAAGACTGTCAGGGTATGAACTTGACATAGCCAGATTTCAAGGGTTGTTGGTCTCTCTGTTTCACAAAAGGCATAACATTGAAGTGGTGTGAAATTTACTAGAGCAGTAATAAGTGATGCAAGAGAGAGTCTCAAAGGTGTCCGTATTTTTGTCATTTTGGTAGGAACACAAAGGAAAACCACAAGAGAAAGGTAGGGTAAATTCACACACCAGGCTGGAAATAAAATTGAA